GCCACAGTGAACAGGGTGGTAACAGTTCACACCTTTAATCCCAGCACTTGGAAGGCATAAGCCTTTAATCCCCCCCCAAACACTCAGGAGTTAGAAGCATGCAGATCTCCGAGTTCAAGGCCAGCCTGATACAGATCAAGTCCCAAATAGAGAAAAACTTAGACGCAGATATGGTGGTTCACACAGGACTTAGTAAAGTTAACCCTAGGTCAAGAGGTGGAACAAGAAATCAGCTGGCAGGGATTAAAGAATAGGAGGGACTTTGAGTTGAGGGGTATTTAAGACAGTGTGGAGAAGAGGAAAGATGTTTTCGGCTTTAGCTTTTTGACTTTAGCTTAAGCTCTCTAGCACTCTGGCTTTTAGGGCCTTTTGGGCTTTGAGCTAGAAAGCCTTTGGCCTTGGGTTTTTTGGCCTTTTCTTCCTGGGCTGTCAACTGAGCTAATAAGCCTTTTGTTTTTTTTTCCATCTGGACCTAAACTGAGAAGGAAGGTTAGGTGGGTGCTTTCTCTGCCTCTCTGAGCTAGCAGGTTTTCACCGTAGCATCTGGCTCCTCCGTCTTTATTGGTTAAAATAGAATGGTTAGGATTTTCATTTTTTAAGACAACAGTTGCTGTGATTAATATATGTGACAAAAAGCAGCAACTTAGGGGATAAAAGGTTTATTTTAGCTCACAGGTCAGATAGTCCCTTATGGAGAGGAGGCCAAGGCAGCAGGAACTTGAAGTGGCTAGTCATACCACATCCACAGTTAAGGGCAGAGAATATCTTCTTGTTAGTGCTCAGCAATCTCTCTTGTTTTAGTCCAGAATCCCCTGCCTAGGGAATGGTGCTGCCCACAGTTGACTGGATCTTTCCTTATCAATTCAATCTAGACAGTCTCCCACAGACATGCCTATAGACCAACCTAATCTAGATTAATTCTTCATTAAGACTCCTTTTCCTGGTGATTCTACTGACTTCGTCAAGATGATAATTAAAACTATCACATAGAGTACTTATAGTTTCCTGTACTGGCCATCATCAACATCTCCATTTGTCTGCTAAATCAAGGTTTTGGTTTTTTTTTTTTTTGCCTTCCTGTGTGTTAAAGGTCAGGCTTGATGGGTATCTTCTATTGCTTCTAACTTGCTCTCTCTTACTCCTCACTGATCCTTCCCATGGGTTCCAAGTTTTTAAATCCTGATAAGAGCTCCTCAGCACAGGCTGAATTGCTTCTCTTTCCTTTGAATCCTGTCAGCTGTAGGAAATGGCAAGACAACACCTCCGTCTCACTCTCCCCATTTCCTCACATTTCCTGCCAGATCTGAGGCTAATGGAGAGATAGACACCCACCTGCATACCTCCTGTTGTAAGTCTTCCCTTATGTGGGTGAGTTCTCTCTGGGAACACAGCAGAGGCTGAGGCTCGTGTCTTCTCTCCCACAGCAATGGCCACGTTGCAGAAGCCTCCCATCTCATCCCATATGTGCTACTGCTTGAAGCTGCAATGCATCCTCTAGCTCATCAGGTCTTCTGAGGGCACACCTGTATTAATCTGTGTTATTGTCTGGAGAGTGACCTCAGAGAGCCATGTTTTCAGTTTTGAATTAATTTATTAAGTATATAGAAAGCCAAAGTAAAAACAAACAAACAAGTAGTGGATAGATAGATTAAACAGCAAAACAACTGAACTGAGTACTCAAAATATCCAGTGGGAATCAACTAGGGAAGCCACGGCAAGGCAGCCAGCTGGAGTTCCCAGCAGCGAGAGTCCTGGGCAGAGCAGAGGGACGAGTCCAAGGAAAAGAACAAATAGCAGCTAAAGGTAAAAATCATCAAATCATTCAGGAACCTCCAGGAACTATTGGGTGAAGTTGAAGCAGCGAATGGGAGGGGATCCCTGCTGACCTTTCACCCACGGCTGATCTCCCAGCCTCCCTCTCCCACTGCGGGCGCCCTCTGTTGGATATGGGTCACCTTCCAGCTGTCCTCAAGCACAGGATGTTTTTGTTCTTGGGCTGTTTTCCTGTTCCCTTCCCTTTCTGTCACAGAGTTGGGGGGCGCTGGGGAGCAACCCCGCTTTCAGGACCACTTTATTGTTGAACTCCAACAACACATGGCGGTTTACTGATAGAGCATCCATTACCGCATGGGAGACGAAGGAGGCATTTCACCCCACATCACGGAGAGGAAGATGCCCCGCCCCAGCCCTTCTAAAGACAGTCCGCTTTCACACAGCTCAGCCTTGGTTGCAGTCTCGTCGCCTACTTGAAGGTGCAGGCCACAGCCGCTGGAACAAGGACTGCACCCCCTCACAGGGAAAGCTGGTACCGTGCGTGCCCCACAGATGCTCTTCTCTGCTGGCTCTGCCTCAGCTGCCTGTCTTATCGCTTACTCATAGCAGGGACCAGCTAGCCAGCGTGACTTTGGTCCTGTGGGCCTGTCCCTACTGGGGTGCTACTTGGGTTGTGGGCTTTCTTCTTGACCGACCTGCACAAAAATCCTTTTGCTCCCGAGACAGGGCACTGGTGACAGACCAAAGAAACGGTACAACCCAAGTCTGGCTTGAACTAATGGAATCACATTGGTCACTTACAGGAGCACAGATGCCTCAGGCAGCTGTCCACTGACTACCCAACCCTGGTCTGCATGACAATGCATGAAAGCTCCGTGACTGGAATTCCTAGATAACTTGTAGGTGACTCTGTCATGGACTCCTCTCCTCCTGGCAAAACAGCCACTACCTTCATTACATTAGTTATTTCTGCTTGCGGGCATCCATCGCTCTGAGGCCTATGGACCTCACCTGACATTCCAGCGGCTCCTTCCAGCCATTTGTATTCAGCTCTGCTCTAATTGCCCAAGGCTTTTTTTTTTTGGGGGGGGGGGTGTCTCTAGAGGTGCTGTGGTGTCCAGCCAGGGGAAATTAAACAAGAGGGGATCCATTTACATGGTGAACTGGAAGCTATTATTAATTTTTGGGGACAGAGTTCCCAGTATGGCTGCTTGGGCTAAGCCCTGCTCCTGTCACACATAACCTCTCACACGTGCTCTGTGAGTAAAGCCCTGTGAACTCATTGGTTCCCCAGGGTTCACTGTGGTGAAATTGTTACTTTGGTTTGTCATTGGGATTTTTGTGAGGAGGCAGCTGATATTTAAGTCTCCTGGGGAGGGAAGGAATTCTCCCACACTCTCTTCTCCTCTTAGGAGGGAATGTTTCAAATTATAGGAAATAGCTACAGGCTAGGTCATGTCTACTAGACTTCAGACAGAGATGGTAGAGCTGGCCTTGAGACCAGGAGTGGTCACGTGTGATTATGATCCCTGCAGTGAGACAAGAGGATTTCGAGCTGGAGGCCAGCCTGGGTTATGGAGGGAGACCTTGTCTCAAATAAACTGAGCTTGGATATGTGAGTTCTGGGCTCATGCTAAACACATCAACTTGTATCATTAAGATACATGATATTAAATTTCTTACCACACTTATTTTTGTAGCATATGTTTGGTAACGCGCATGTGTGGAGGTCAGAGAACTTGTGAGAGTTAGGCAGGTCTCTCCTTCCATCATGAGGGTGACAGCAAGTTCCTTAAACTGATGGGCCATCTTGCCAGCCCCTACGTGGTATTCAAAGTCATCAGCTGGGCTGGGGATGTAGCTAGCTCAGTGGTGGCACACTCCCTAGCATGTATGATGTCCAAGGTTCAATCCCCAGTACTGTGAAACAAACTTCCGAGCAAGCTATGAGAAATCAAATCAGGGAATCCTAGGCCTGGAGGTTGGGGCTTGCCAACTTGTGGGCAAAGAATGTCAAATCAGCAAATGACTTTTCTTGTGATTGAAGAAATGGAAGCATGCATGGATGGATGGGTAGCCTTTGCCACTTTCTTCAAAAAGCTGGGTCACCTTCACTGTAGCCCCATAGATCTCCATGAACCTCAGTAGCCTTCTGAGAATTCTTAAGTTAGCGATCCCTCCACTTCCCTCTCTCTCTTCCCCTCCCCCCTGGCCATGTTGAGGATGAGTCTCTACCTTTGAGTCCCAGTGCCAGACCCTCAGTGGAGAACTGCAGGCAGACACTTTAACAACCAAAGCCCCTCACTGGGGGATTCTAGGCAGGTGCTCTTCCACTGAGCCACACCCCAGCCCCTCACTGGGGGATTCTAGGCAGGTGCTCTTCCACTGAGCCACACCCCCAGTCTCTTACTGGGGAAATCTAGGCAGGTGCTCTATCACTGAGCCATATACCTCCCGCACCTCACTGAGGGATTTTAGGCAAGAGCTCAACTGCTTAGTTATATCTAAGGGTGACAACAGCTAAATTGGGCCAACAGCCTCCTCAATCTCTCCTGGGCAGTGGATGTTCTTCACATCAGAACCAATTTACCATTGGGCCAGTAAAAAAAAAAAACAAACCAAACCTACAAAGTGTCTGAGAAGATGGTTCAGTTTATAGAATGGTTGCTGTGTGTGCAAGTATGATGATTTGAGTTCGATCCCCAGAACCCATGTGCAAAGCAAAAAAAAGCAGGGCTTGGTACTGAGTGCTTATAATCGCTACTCTTGGGGAGAGAGGCAGACATAGGAAGAACCGTGAGGTCCCTGTCAAACCAGGCCAGCCTGCCTGGTGAGCTCCAGGCTACAGAGAGACTATGTCTTAAAAGAAAGGTGGACAGCATCTGAGGGGTAATGAACAAGGTTGTCCTCTGATTTCTAGACACCCATGTGCATACTTGAACACGCACCAATACAGATACAACCACAAAGAAACCCAAGACGATTTCCTTTAAAAGGTTTTCATTTATTAGTCTTTTCTAAAGCAGTTAATTCTCTTTTCTTATTTTGTTTTCATTGTTTTTTTTTAAATGTGTGTTTCATCCAGAGTTATATCAAAGTGATTAAAATGAATTTTCTCCTGTGGATACAGCTCCCCAGATTAGAAGAGATTTTTTTCTTCTTCCCCAATTAACCACAAAAAATAAAACCCAAAGAGGACACCAACAATCAAACATCATTCCCAAATATCCAGGACAAAAAATAAAATATTTATTGATCTATCACAGCGAAACACAAAGAGGTGGGGAGGCGGGGCATGCTCTCGGTAGAGTGGCTCCAGGAAGGGACGGGATACAGTACTGCATGTGGGGATGGTCCTGCCCGACCCGCACGACCCCTGCCCCCAGGCCAGCATTTGGGGTGTGTGGCAGGGGCAGAAACAGGGTACAGGCTGCCATGACAGGTGAACCGGGTTGATAGGTGTGCCTAGCCAGGTCGTGGCACGAGGCAGTCAGGACGGATGGATGCATGGACTGATGAATGGATGGGTAGGCAGGCAGGTGACTTCCACAAGAACAAGGGGGCTTTTCCCAGTGTGGCCAACCATTGGACTCCACGGTGTCCCAGTTGGGGGAAATAGCTATTGGTAGAGGGGACAGGGCCAAGGGGACCCAAAGACAGAGGGATCATGTCATCAAATCCAGCGTCAAGGCTTCCGGTACTTGGGTACCAATAGGATGCAGCCAGGATGGCTCCTGGTGGGCAGGGGGAGGTGGGACTGCCCGGCAAAGGTGTGCACCATCTTAATAGAGGGGCTTTGGGTAAGGGGGGTTATCCTGGGATTCCCTTCCCTCCTCCCTCCCCCCACAAAGAAGAAGCACCAACGTGTAGCACCAATTTCCCTTGGAGATGGAGACTGTGTGGGAAGCTCCTGGGTGGGAAGAGATGGGACACCCGCCCTGGTCTCTGATGTAGGGGAGAAGTTTCTGGTTAGGGGTACGTGGCCGCTGCTGTCTGAGTTCCTTGTCCTGTGGGTTTCCAAGGCCACTGGCCTGTTGTCCCCTCCCAGGCGGGGGTGGGGGATAGAGTGGGGGTGGTCATAGAAGGTTTACATTCTCCACCAAGCAGTAGCACCAACGTTGATGAGGTCGCTAGTCAGGGGTCCCCAGAAGATCACTTTCTCTTCCGGCCACAGGATTTCCCGAAGCAGCCCCCACCTGCATTGGAAGGGTTTATAAACAGCTGTGGTCAGCTTCGTTCCTCTAGGCTGCTCTTCAAGTTCCTGCAAGCTCTGTTCGTTTCCATCCCAGGCTTGGAGGATCTAAGAGAAGCTAGTCAGTCAGTCCTGCCTTCCTTCCTTCCATCCTTCCTTCACCCCTCCTTTTCTGAGACAATATCTCATGTAGCTCAAGTTGTTGATGAACTCAGTTCATAGCTGTGGGTGGTCTTGAACTCCTGGTCCTTATGTGGATCTAACCTCCCAAGACCTGAGATTTCAGCATGCACCACCTTGATTGGTTTTATGCTGTGCTGGGGATGCAACCCAAGGCTTGGTACATGCTGGGCAAGTGTTCTGTCAACAGAGCTATGTCCTCAGCTCTCTCTCTGTCTCTCTCTGTGTCTCTCCCTCCCAACCCCTGGCATGGTGGTGGGGTTGTTGACATTGTCTCCTTATGGAGTCCAGGCTGGCCTCTAGCTTTCTGGAAAGACCCGTTTAGCAAACCTGGGGGTAGATAGCCTGGGGCAGGAAGGTAGCACAAGCTGGTGTAGCCCTCATCCAATTTCTGCTAGATGTGGCCTGTTAGCACCACCTGGTGGTCTGTCCTGGAAGACCTTCCCACTCGTTCTTTGTCACTGTTCAAGTCCCAGGCTTCTCCCCCTCCCCCCCCAGGCTTCTCTTGATGTGACGGTGGGCAACAGCTAAGGGTCATGGGTAAGAACGTCCAGCCTCACTGAGGGTGAGCATGGCGGGTCCTATGCCTGCACCCAGCTCTGAATGTCTGCATCGTAGGTGCATTCCCGGCCTGGGAATGTGCACACCTACACCCTGACCAGTCTCTCCCTTCCCTAAGGAAGGAGTCTCTGCTTACCTTGGTATCCCAGGGCTCCCAGGGCTCCTCCATAGGGCTTTGGGGGTTTTCCGGGGGGGGGGGGTGGCAGCAGAGGATGAGATGAGGAGGATCCTGGGCTACCCTACCTCCACCAGTGTCTTACCTTGTGCCAGCTCTGCCCTGTTTTAGTAGGCTCCCCAAACCTCCCTGCCAGTCAGCCCACCTACCTTTGGTCTAGCCACACCCTTCTCCCCAGAGCCAAGCTCTGTTGTACTGGGAATGGAACCTAGTATATTCTAGACAAGAATTCTATTACTGAGCCACACTCCCATCCTCTCACTGGGGATTCTAGGCAGGGGCTCTACCACTGAGCCACACCCCAGCCCCTCACTGGGGGATTCCAGGCAGTTGCTTTACCACTGAGCCACACCCCAGCCCCTCACTGGGGGATTCTAGGCAGGGGCTCTACCACTGAGCCACACCCCAGCCCCTCACTGGGGGATTCTAGGCAGTTGCTTTACCACTGAGCCATGCCCTTAAACCTATCACTGGAGTAGTATAAGGAAGAGATTTACTGCTGAACCATGAATGCCCCTAGCCACTGACTGGAGGATTCTAGACAGGTGACCTACCGCTGACTCATGCTACTTACTGGGGGATTCTAGGTAATTGCCCTGAGACAGAGTTTTGCTAAGTTGACCAAGTTGTCTAGAGCTCTCTCGGTAGCTTAGGGTAGTCTTGAATTTTGATCCTCTTGTTTCAGCCCCACCCCCATCCCACTCCACCAGTGCTAAGATTCCTTCTCCCAACAACACTAGTTTATGAGGTGTTTCTTTACTGCAGACTCACCACCAACTCCCAGGCCCCCAGCACCACCACCTATGAAGTAAGAAGAAGAGGTGTCAGGGTGCCAGTTCTGGGAGCCCACCACGCCCTCCCTGATTGAAGGACATGTGATATAAGAAGGGTTAAGTCCTGGGCTTGACTGTCTCTGCTCACTGTGTGACCTTGGAACAGTGCTTTTTGGTCTCTGAACCTCAGTTTACCTCAGAAAAAGTATGGCAGGGAAGCTATTTGACCCACAGAGACCCTGAGAAATTCAAAAGATGCTTTAGACACGCAGGTGTGGTGTCCTTTGTCCTTAGAAAGGTGCTTATGTTACACCGGGGTCTGGCTTCCCCTTGGGGTCTGCTGCAGCGACAGCTCAGCTCTTCTGAGCAAATGCAGTGGAGGAGAGGGAAGGGTCCGGCAGAGTCCAGAACAGGGTCCCAGGGCAGGATACTTGGGCATACCTGGGTAAATAGGAGAGAGTCCAAAGCCAGGTCTTGCTGCCACTCCTGCAGGAGAGATGTAGGGTTGGTGATGCATGGTGACAGGCCATGTTCTGCTCTTGTCACCTGGCCTTGACATCTGGAACCAGCTGCTTTCCACTGTCCCATTGCCCTAACTGACTGAAGGTGTATGGTGTGTATGTGTGCATGTGTCTAAGCTCTACCTTTCATTTTGAGGTAGGGTCTCTCACTAAACTTTTTGTTCACCAATTCAGCAAAAAAAACTAGCTGGGCCAGCAAGCCCCAGGGATCTCCTAGTCACCTCCTCTCCAGCCTGCAAGTCTTACATGCATGCCGGGGGATTGAACTCAGGTCTTCATGCTTGCCTGCTTTACTAACTGAGCCATTTGCCCAGCCCTGAAGGCACTTTCTTAATTAATCTTGTCTCCATCTCATATGTAGAGCCTTGTGGCTCTTTCTCTGAGCTTTGGTTAGCACTATCCTCAACCCGCGAGGAGCGCGCTCCCCCTCCCATAGTTGTCTCCATCCTTGGGCCCTCCTGTGAATATATGGTCCAGAACCCTGTTGCCTATCCCCTAGAGCCAGGAAGATCTGAGAATACCACCAGGGGCGGCCGTACCTCCACCTGGGAATGGCCTGGCTCCTAGGACACCTCCGAGGCCAGCAGCACCTGAGGAGAGGACACAGGGGGGTCAGGGGGAGACACGAGGGGTGGTGCTGCTGACATTTTGGACAAGATCTACAGGGGTACCCCGAGCTGGGCAGGGTGAGTGATGATGATGTGGGTACGCGATGTGCTGGGGAGAGGGAGGCCATGGGGGAAACTCACCATATTTGGCTGCTTTAGCAGCCGCAGCTGGGGACACACCTAGAGGAAGCACAGGAGGGCTCAGGAAAGGCACCTCTCTCCCCCAGCTCTGGCTCTCTTAGCTGATCCATACATCAGCATCTGCCCCTGACTTGTCCTCCCATATCCCACCATTTTATCATCCCTCCTTTTCCACACATCCATCTTTTTAATAGCCTTTGTATGTATGTGTGTGTGTGTGTATGTGTATGTGTGTGTGTGTTGCTAGAGATGGAGTCGAGGGTCTCATGCATGCTATGCAAGTGTTCTGCCATTTAGCAATGCTTACAGCCCCTCACTGGGGGATTCTAGGCAGATGCTCTACCACTGAGCCATCTTTCTACACCTCTATTACTTTATATTAAGGTGCTAGTATACGTCTAGTTTTGGGTAGCTTACAGGCTAGTTTAGGTAAGGAGACAACAATGGCAGAGAGAGGAGAGAGAGAAGCATGCATACACCATGATGGTAGAGACTTTAGGGAAGTATTTCTTCTCCAGTCTTTGAGTTTTCTTGTCTGAGAAGTGGGTCTGACCATCATTATGCTAATGAGCCCTCACCTGTAGTAGTTGGTGGGTTGGAAGAGAGAGGGGGAGATAGGTCTTGGTACCCCTATGTCAATGGGCATATGTCTGCTTAAGCTTCTACCCTTTTGCTTTCAGACAGGGTTTAATATATCCTAGGCTGACCTTGAACTCAACTGTGTTATCTAGGTTAGCCTCCAACTCATGATCTTCATGCCTTAGCCTTCTGCATGCTGTGATGACAGGTGTTGCCATCATACCTGGCTTCAGGATGTCTCTTTCTCCCTCTCACTCACTCACTCCTTACCTCCAAGGCCTGCAGCACCAGGGATGGCTCCGCCGGCCCCCAGTCCGCCGGCCCCCAGTCCGCCGGCTCCCAGTCCACCAGCCCCCAGTCCACCGGCTCCACCAAGGCCTGAGGGGAGACCCAGGCATTACACACACTGCTCAGGAGATTATAATTAGAGCCTGTTGGTGAGGGCTTCTGAACTCCCAGGTCACTCCTGAGGTACCCAATGGCTAGGAAATGGCTGGGCCCAGGGGCTCAGGAATTGACCAGGGAGGTTGAATTGTAGCTTACCATACTGGGCAGCCTTGGCAGCAGCTTTGGCAGCGGCAGCAGCAGGTGCAGCTCCTGGGAACAGGAGGGACTCACGAAGGGACTGATTGGGGGCCCAGTCTCCACCCTCAGCCAGCTCATTTTTGGGACAGCAAAAACATACCTGCTACTCCTCCTGGAACACCAGCCCCACCCAGACCTCCAGGCCCTCCAAGGCCACCAAGGCCACCAAGGCCACCAGCTCCTGCTGCTCCTGTGGAGACAGGACCGAGGGACAGTGCTCATGTTTTTGTTTGTTGTTTTAAGACCAGATCACTTATAGCTTAGGTTTGCTTTGGGCTTTCTGCGTGGCTGAGGATAACTTTGAACTCTTGATCCTGCTTCCACCTCCCAAGTACTAAGGTTTATAGGTATCTGCTACGATGCCTTGAGCTTTTTTCTTTTGGCTTTTTAAAAATTTTGGTTTTCCAAGACAGGGTGTCTCTGTGTAGCCCTGGCTGTCCTGGAGCTTGCTCCGGAACTTATACATCTGCCTGCCTCTGCACCCTGAACTCTGGGATTAAAGGCGTGTGCCACTACTGCCCAGCTACTTTATTCTTTTCTTTTTCTTTTTTTTCCTAGTGAGACAGTCTCACTAAGACTGGCCTTGAACTCATGATCTGTTAGTCCCATTTCAGCTTCCTGACTGCTGGATGACAGGCCTGTGCCAACATGCTTGCCTTCAGTTTCTGAAAGATGTGTTCATGCCCTAGGGACATAAGGCTGGAATGCAACCTAGGCCAGTGGGATTCTAGCAAGCCCTCTACCACTGAAGCACACCCCAGGCCCTCACGGGAGGAGTCTAGGTAAGCCCTCTCCCGCTGAGCCATGCTTACAAGCCCTTTGCTAGAGCATTCTAGGCAGGTGCTTATCTGTTTGTTGGTTTTTCTGAGACAGGCTCTCAGTTTTTAGGCCATGCTGCCTTTGTACTTGAGATTCTCCTGCCTCAGCCTTCAAAATGTTGGCCTCACCGGGGTGATTCGCCATGGCCGGCAGTCACACCAGTTTTGCTGATGAGAAGTTTGAGGCAGAGGAGGGGTTAAACAGAGTGCTGTGTTCAGACAGGAAGTGACCCAGTGGCGGCTCTTCCAGGGAGTCCCTCCGTGTGCTTCCCTGGCAATGTCTGTCGAGCAGGGCCAAGAGCAGCCAGCAGGGAACCTGAGAGGACGCTCTGTGTGTGTGTGTGTGTGTGTGTGTGTGTGTGTGTGTGTGTGTGTGT